GCTTTTTGATCAAGGCTCGTCAGATCGTATCCCCGGCTTCGCTTCGCATGAATCGATGAGGATCCTAATCGAGGCTCGCTCCATATACATGGATGGAACTTTCCGGGTGGTTCCGAGGCTGTTTCTCCAATTATACTCCATTCACGCCTTTTACAAGGGACAGATGCAAGCCTTGGTCTATTTCTTACTCCCGGACAAGTCCAAGGCTACCTACAACCGAGTCTTCGCCATGCTCAAAGAGTATGCCCTCTCTGTGGGGAAAGTTTTCCAACCCACAACGGTGCAATTGGACTTCGAAGTGGTTTGCCTCAACGCCATCCAAGAGAGTTTCCCCGGAGCAGGAGTGAAAGGCTGTAACTTTCACTTCTGTCAGGCTTTGTGGAGGAAAGCACAGGAGCTCGGTTTACAGCCTTACTATGGGGATCGAGCTGTGAACAGATTCCTCAAATGCGTGGCAGCCCTCAGTTTGGTGCCTCTGGAGGAGATCGATGAAGCTTGGCTGCAGATAGACAGCGACTCTCCGAGTGCAGACCATCCAGCCTTCCGAGCTCTCGATCGCTTCAAAACGTACTTCATAAGCACGTGGTTGGAGAACGAGTCGGTTTTCCCGCGTGTTCTCTGGAACCATTACAGGAACTTCGGAGCGCGTACAACAAACCATATCGAGGGTTGGCATCACGCCCTCAATGGTCGCGTCGGGAAACGACACGTTAACCTCTTCGAGATCGTGTCGCACCTTCAGAAAGAGAGCACGGCAATAAAGCTCAACGCTTGCTACTCGATATGGGCAGAGCTCCGAAGCCTGTTCGGAAGAAGTATCGAGTTCTGAACGAACGACTGATCCGTCTGACGGATCAATATGAAGCCCAGGAGCTCTCTTTGATACAATATGCGAGCCGGGTCGCTCACAACTTATATACCGATTAATACTTTAAAGTACCTATATATGACCTACGTAATTCTCCATGTAAATACCTCGTTTCTAAGAGAAACATATACGATATTCACGAGTGAGCCTACGGGCGTGACGAGCTCTAAAGTCTACCTTACGACCTCGTAAGGTAGTCATGGTCATTGAGCGAACTCGCGTCTGATTTCGTAGTCGGCTGTCGGCTCGACAAAGAATCTTCGTGTTTTCCTTAACGGGTAGTCTGCTACAGGGTTGCCGATTTCGCGGTGGCTCCGTGAAGATTGCCCGCTAATTTAGCGGGTAGATTGAGGAGAGGGTTAGCGAATCCAGCTGTCGGGCCAATGGGTGTCGGGCCAATGGGTGCACACCGAAAGGATAGTCAGACACGAGAGTTGTGGTTCGCACCGAGAGAGCTTCCGACTTTGGAAAGGATTCGAGCGGGATCTGGAGACGAACAGGGTGATCGATGCTGATCTTCAAAGGGCTATCGCAAACGAAAAAGAAAAATGGAAGCATATTCTCGAAAGCATTCTTCACTGTATAAAGTTTCTCGCGATTCACAACCTCCCATTGCGAGGTCATTGGGGAAATCTGTTCAGAATCTATGTTCCCTGTAACCGTCTGATACACTGAGGGAGACAGTGTTCTTTCTCTTTACCACTTCCCACTTCTTCTGGACTTATATTATATTAGCACTGCATCATCTGGAATAAATACTGGGTAACACCAACTGTCTGTTCTATTATACTGAGTTCTACCTCAGTGTCCCGTGAATATCGAATACGTTATCAAGCACGAGTTAGCTCTACAACGACCCACAAAAGTAAGCAACCATTTACTTCCTTAGACCAGGATCCAACATGTCCATTCCGGACATCTCGGGCTCAGAGCCAGAGTATAAAAAGAACCTGACACAATGCCAAGTCACGCTAAAACAACATAGACAGAACTACGTAGCCTGGAAATCCCTTATCCCTATCTATCTATCTATCTCAAAATCAAGACGGAAGAAAGGAACGAATGGACCACTATTCAAGAAGAACAAGTCAGAAAATATAAGGCAGCAAATCTACTCGGAAAACAAATTCTCTATGCCTCCATCCACCCAGATCTTATCATAACTCTCTTCTATGGTGGAACCGAACCTCTCACTGCCAGAGAAATCTATGAAAAGATCAAGAGAAGATTCGCAAACCCAACTGGCATCGTCAAAGATACAGCAATCTCGAGATTCATGTCTTTCAAGTTCCTCAAAAACAAATCAATGGACGACAATCTCACTATGTTTGAAAACCTTCAAAATACCCTTACTGAAACCGGTTTTGTAGTTGCGAATGATATCAAGTATGCACGACTTCTTGCGTTACTTCCCAAAGAATGAGATTCGCTCAGATTTGCTTGGGCAGCAAGAGCCGGACCTGATAAGACATACACATTGCTAGAGGAGGTTCTCAGAGCAGGCGAAGCGAGAAGAGCTCAAGAGCGTGAGGTAGATCAGGCCTCGGCTCTGCTCGCACAAACCAGAATCAGTGGAAATCGAAATCCAAAGCAGAATCGAAGAGGTAGATTTCGCCGACGACCAAGATCCGGCGGCTACCGAAGTTCCGTCCAGCAAATAAACCAACGGAGGGTAACAAATACGCGTAGCAGAACTGAAATCAAGTGCCACAACTGTGGATTAATGGGACACATGCAAAATGTATGCCGCGAGCCGAAGAGGAATCAAAAGTCTAGAAACAGGCCAAGGGCCAACGTTGCCGAAGCATTTCCGGCCGACGCCTTTAGCGCCCAGGACAAATCAAATCAATTCCTCATCGACAGCGGAGCATCCCACCACATAGTGAACTCAAAGATCTGGTACACTGACTTTGACAAGAACACCGACACCCGGGAAGTCAGAGTTGGAAGCAACCACTGCCTGCAGGTTTTCGGGCAGGGTACCATCCGCCTGACTGTCGATGCTCACGGTCAAGCACAAGCATTTGATCTCCACAGTGTTCTGTTTGTTCCCAAGATGCGGAAGAACTTTATCTCCGTAAGCAAGTTGCCTGACGACAAGTTTGAAGTCAGCATCAGTGGAAGTGGTCTCCTCATGAAAAGAAATGAGACCACAGTACAGGTTCCTAGGAAAAAGGGACTGTGCAGGATCATGGCTACGACAGCCAACCATTCTGGCGGTCACGGAACTGTGCACAAGGAAGCGCAGACCCGAAAGAAGATAAAAAGCATGCAGAAATACCGAAGCAGAGTCTTCGAAGATTCCACGAAATACTGGCACACATCAACAAGGAATATGTTAAAAGCTTTCTCAACCTGAACAAGATAAGCTATCAAGATGATCTAGATCAGTGCCAGAGCTGCATTATGGGAAAGCAAACCAGAAGCTCGTATCACAGTCGACCTGAACAGGCAAAAGCAAAAGAGCCTGGTACAGTCTCACAGCAGACTTGTGTAGCCCGGCTACCCCGTCGCTGGGGAACTCAAGACATTTTCTAATGATCACGGATGAATTTTCAAAATTCAGGAAGGTCTACTTTCTTCAGACCAAAGATCAGACCGCCGACTCTATCTGACATTACGCTCAGTGGAACAAAGATCAAATCGGTCACAACATTAACTGTTTTCATTCGGATAACGGAACTGAATTCAAAAATCAAGAAGTCAAGAAAAATTCTCGATGACATAGGTGCGGAGCAAACGTTCAGCAGTGCATACATTGCCATGCAAAATGGTACTGCGGAACGTGGAAATCGCACAGTCATAAATTTGGTCAGATCCGTTCTAATCAGTGCCGGTTTTGAACATAAAAAGTACCTCTGGGCTGAATGTGTCAGCTACTGCGTGGATATATTGAACATCGTATCCATACATGAAGAGCTGAACAAGTCAGCATATGAAATCATATATAAGAAGAAACCGTACTGCTAGAACCGAACCTTCTAGCCGTTGATCGATATTCTAGCTGCCGTCTGCTGCCAATAAAAACAATGAGTCTGCTGGGATCACTTCCGCCGATAAGACGTGTGTTCAATTAGGCCTCAAGAAAGCCAACAATTGGCGACGAAGCTGTGGAAAAAAAAACCGATTCGGAACCCGGAAGCAAAAGAACAACGTCATCACGCGCAATCGCTAGACAAAATGTCGACCGGATCAACAAGTTTTCGTGAATTCGATCCAGTGTCAGAGCGATGGCCCGCATGGGTCAGTAGACTCCAAAATCGCCTGTCACTCAACAAGAAGACTGGAGAATCTGATAAAAAGCATGCGGTCCTGGCATATATGGGAGCCAGCACGTTCAGGAAGCTGTATGATCGCGTGGCTCCAGCACAACAGCCGAATGATCTCGGTTCCGACGAAATCGTCTCCACAGTGAAACATTTCATCGAACCGCAAGCAAACCCTTGGGCTGCACGCATACAGTTCCGTAAGCTTCAGCAATTCGCAGGCGAATCACTTCTTGATTCCGAGAGCCGTCTGAGATCATCAACCATAGATTGCATATGGTCCGCCGAGGAAACGCAGTTAAGCCTGATCGAACAATTCATCGCCGGGTTGACTGATCCGTCTACGAAACAGGCACTACTAGTGAAGTGTAGGGATAAGACGAAATTCTTCGAGGTGTTTCAATGTGCGGACGAAATCATCAAAGCTCAGAAAGCTGCATCAGACCATCAAAATGTATCATCACCTGGAATCGATGTAGACGTGCACGCCATGCGGTTCCTTACAAACCGAAAATTTCGGTCGAAGAACTCAACGCCGAAAAATCATCCAACGAATGGCGGGAAGTGTTACCGATGTGGAAAACCAGGACACATGGCCCCTAAATGCCCATTCCGGAACGCGAGATGTGCGTCGTGTGGACTCGTTGTTCACATCACCCAAGCCTGACGAACAAAAAGGTTTCAACAAAACTTCTTGGAGGATGTGGCAGCGAATTTCATTGCAACGTCTTCGGATCGAAACTCTATCATGGTGCGAGTACAACTGAATGGAAAACCCATCTACATGGAGCTCGATACAGGATGCGCACTATCAACCATGAGTTAAGACACGTTTAAGAAGGAGTTCTCCGAATATGACCTCCATGAGAATGACGTACAGCTGCGCACAGCATCAGGAGAACTAATCGTCCCGTTTGGATACGCGTTGATTAAAGTGAAATACAAGAATCAGATACAAAATCTTCGGCTCTACGTCATTGAACGTCCCGGCTTTCCAACGTTACTCGGGAGAGTCTGGATGAGAATGCTCGGATGTCAACCATTCAACACCGAGAAGTGCAACCACTATGACTCATCACTCATCACACGTAGATCACAATATCAACAAGATGATGAAGAAATTCCCAAATCTCACGAAGGACGGTATCGGAAAAATACCACACACGGAAATGAACCTTCATTTCGACGTCGAAAACCCAACTCCGGTTTATCATCGATTCCGGCCCGTGGCGCAGGCCCTGCTCCCGCTGGTTGACAAAGAACTGGATCATCTCGAAAAATCTGGCGTGATCAAGCATGTTGAGGTGAGTGACTGGGCGCACCCGATCGTCGTAGTGCCTCGAGCCGCCGGAAAGAAGGTTCGCATATGTGTGGATTTCAAGGTCGGTCTAGATCGATTTCTAAAGCTGGAGGATCATCCGCTGAAAGGCATTCGCCAGGCGCTTGACAATCTAGGGACAGGGGAAAGATTCTCGAAACTTGACATATCTTCTGCGTTCTTGCATATGCCGGTGCGCGATGAAGATCAAAAGTACCTCACCGTCGATACGCATCGAGGCCTGTTCCGATTCACCAGAGTGTCGAACGGATTGTCAAGTGCCGCTGCAGTCTGGCAACGGTACATCGAAGCTATTCTCGCCGGTATCCCTGGTGTGGAGGTCGTCATCGACGACATCGTAATCACAGCACCCACCG